ATATTCCAAACAAAGGCGAACATCTCCATTGAGTGACTGTAACTGCTATGGTTTACAATCAATAGTTCTTAACCAACCCTTTCTTTTTTGAATTATTAATGTTTATTAATTAATTCATTATTATATTATGTCTTTCTTTCTGAAGGGCTTGCGGTTTATTACACCAAAGGCTTTCAGTGAACTATTGAAGCTATCGAGAGAGTACCAAATGCTGACAGTGACGAAGGTTATCGACTTTTGGTGGACGCGGAGCCAACGAGTTCGGTCGAACAGCGTAACGAGTCTAAGGTTACAGAAGCCTTCGCCAACTTTGATAGGCATAGCATTGCAAGCAAATAGAGCAGAGAGCTTACCCTTTCTTTCTATTAGAGTCGCGAGCTTGTTGTAGTCGGTCCTAAGGGGAGAACCTTGCTGCTTACTTGCTATATCCCCGCGTCCTTGCACGGCTCGGCTCGTTCTTCGAGCCCTACTTCTCCCTTCCCCCTCTCCCCGTTCCTACCGTCCAAAACAGGCCTATGGAGTATAGCCAAGTGGTAAGGCATTGGTTTTTTGTACCGGCATGCAAAGGTTCGAATCCTTTTACTCCAGATTATGAACACCCGATCGGATCTGTCAAGAATGAGCTGACGGCTACAGGGGAAGCAGCTGACTGCAGTCCCTGAGCCCGCAAGCCAAAGGTTTGACTTTCACCTACCTTTGCTAAGAGAAGAGAGAGAAGGGAAAGACAGATGGCAGAAAGAAATCCTTCCAACCGCGGAATTGAACACAAGACTTACTTCGGCCAGGTTCTTTTATCAATCTCCTGGCCCTTGCTTAACTCCTTGTTCCGTAAACCGGTCACTGGTAGATCTGATCCGAACAGATCTTGTTGAATGAATTGACTTCGGTTTGATTTCCTGAAACACAAGCGGATCGGAACAATAGAACTAATAATAGAATAAACAGAGACAAAAGCAAATATTTGAGAACTCGGGAAAGGAGAATAAGCCTCTCTAAGGGAAGAAGACCTAGCCCAGCTTTCTTTCCAAGCCATCAATAACTGCCGGCTTTCAACGGGTCCGGCTATCCTTTCACCGGTCGGTCAGTTATGGAAGACTCTGCTGGGTAGAAGCCCGAATATCATTAAGAATATCATAACATTTTTCATTTTTTTTACTAATGGAAGGTAATATATGAATAAGAACAGATAGCATTCTGCTAGAGAGAGAGGGCACAGAAGAGAAGGGCGCTAGCCCGGGTACATTAGTATTAGGTCCACCAGTGCACACAATTATTCTGTTATTATCTCCTGCCCGTTTAACTACTCCTCGAGACATTTCTGTTGATGGCCCTTGAATTATAGCAGGAGCAACCTCAATTGCCGTACCCAGGCGCCGGTCTCTAGAAGCTTCTGGAATGTTCAATTTGTATGGCCTCAGTGATGAGAATATTTTTTGTGCCACTTCTGATGATGCATGCATTGGGGACAAGTATATGTCAGTTCCGTAGATCAAGGCTTTCAAGGACTCCTGAGTTTGTGATTTGTCACCAGGCAGCACATTACACATTAGCAGATGGATGCTATAAATTCCTCCGAAAAATCAAAAAATACTGTGCGGCCATACAATATACTCTAAATTCTCGTTGTCGATGGAAGT